TCAGCCTAACAACGTACGCCGTGTTTATGGTTTACAGAAAAGGAAACAAACTATTTGTCCCGTTGTTACGACCTCACCAAACAAACTCAGACACTTACTGTAATACGATATGGAAATTTCTATTACTCAGGCCTCTCAGTGAAATTACTCAGCTAACTACATCAGCAACGGAATCTCACCGCAAAGCGAGGTATTGTAATTCATCGAAGGATCGAGATCCGTGGTATTTCTCTTTCCAACAGGATCATACCGTGTACAGGAGATAAAAATTGAATTAGATTAGATACGACGCTGTTAGAAGTCATCGTTAGTAACACAGGAAGAATTTCAATCCGAAGAAGCCTCACAAACATGCCTTTCTCTAGCTGGTGCAATTTGTGTGTGGACAGAAACGACGTCGATGTCCAAATATTTTCTGAAGTATGCTCTTTGCTACAACTCACTCATCTTGGAGCAGGGTTAACGACTCAGCAAAAGATTTTGCGTTTTCCTCTGACTCGGGAGACTGGTTCAGTACTGACCACGACCAAATCTTCAGGAAATCGAGATTGGATAACTTTGTCGATGCAACATGAATGCAGCGGTCCACGGGTGCATTTCTGTATCACTCTTTCAAGGATCAATTCATCTACGAGGAAAAGGAAAAGAAAGGCAAGCATGTGACTGCTTGAATGTCGACCTCGCTTATACGTTCCTCACGGACTTGACTCAAAGCACATTGTGTGACTTTGATATTCGCTTATATGCACTGCCCGGGAGCGCCTTACTTTAAAGGCAATGTCTACGGCTACGCTGCAAATACAGCTTGCAGTCTCTTGTCTTTCTTGTGCCAAAATGATGCAAATTTTACAGCCTGGCGAGCGAATGAAGCAAGATGCATGTCCATGGCCTCAGAATACGGAGTTAAATGAGTCGCCCTCTCTGTGGTTGTGACTCCCTCAGTTATGTTGAAAGAGTGTATCAAATAACAATTATTTCTCTCAGATGCCTCAAATTTAAAGCGCTTTCTAAGAACTGCTCATCTGAACATCATATACAGCGGAAACAAATAGAATCGCTAATATTCGAAACAACGACTGAAAGAACGACTGCCTTCAACTGAAAGTAATCGTACAGATTCTACAAGAGCAAGGCACAGCAATTAAAGCAATAATTGTAATTATTGTTGAAAATCAATCAGTCCAGACAAGGCAGTCACCTGCACCGACCGTCACTGATCGTCACATGCGCGAAAAGATGTTCCTAATCGGCGTTATGTCTGTTGCTCAAGAATTGTTAGACATTGCGCCAGCTGAAGAGGGTGTAGCTGTATTGTTTCCTCGGACTGAAATTCCTTCCCTATTTTCGATCAAAACTTCCAGCAGATTTATGTATCCTATCTTTCAAGGAAAATATCGTGTGTTTAGCTTTGAATGAACGTAAAACTTTCCACTCTCCTGTGGGCAAACTGCTTACCTCTGAGGTTGATCAGACGCGAGTGCATTCCTCTGTCTATAAGATTCGAGACGTACACTTGTGCATGCACGGCAGAAGCGACTACGTTCCAGTTTGTAATATCGAAGGTAGAAGTAGACTCTGTCGTTCGGCTTTACTTATCTGATGGGGTCCGGCCAGAAGGTGCCTGGCGATTTGCATATAGCAAGAAACCGCAAAAATGAATTAACACCACTACACGTAGAATCCACAAAAAACGCAGAAAAGTCGATTTAATTATAACGAGGTATACAGGTGTCATAGAAGGATACTAGAAGGTAAAGAGAGAACATGGAGTTGGCTGCGGTGTACATATATCAATGCGGTGCGAACACGTCTCTGGCCACTATTTGATCCAAGGTCAAACTTGGCCACTGGATAATGAGGTGCTTTGCAGAAACGAACAATGAGTGTGAAGAGGAAAGGTGTGGAAGGCAACGGCTACCAATGATCGAGAGTTAAATCCTCATTAATGGAATGGATCTAAGTACAGAGAAGCTCAGGAATTAGAACGGAGCTGACGTTCAAACGGTTGCTGCCTTAAAAGCATTACCACTAACTTAGCTCGCTGTCTTTAACCATGGATCAGCAGATTCGCTACAGTCCCAACGATAGGCCAGAATCGAAAACTTAACATCCGACTAGTCAGGGGGCCTTCAAGTACAATGCCTCTCCTTCAAAAGTCTCGCCGAAATGAGGCTTAAAATATCTGGAACCTTGAAAGCGGAAGTGACAGAGAAGAACTGTATCAGGCAGACCAATGTGGACCAATTACCACCAAACACTTATTTCTGACACAGGTATTCGCGATTGTGTACTCGGTCATCAACTCTGAGAAGCACCACTTGTACAAATGACAGCTTATTTAAAAATTGTACTGACTAAACACGTTCAACGTTTTTGCAATGAGTCTCTAACGTTGTAAACCGTCTTTTTCAGATTTTTACGATTTTGGATAAATGAGGAAAGGCACTCAAGTTATGAATCCGCCCACTACTGAAACAAGAAGCGAAGACCAACATGGGAGTTTCGCGTTAGCGGGTAACCTGGAAGACGGTTGCTGATGCAGTGAACGAAGATTAACTGTCCAGGCGCACTCCTTCAACCGCGTTCTCTCCTCCAATGTGCCGATGACACAGACCACAAGGAGTACTAAATGAACTATGATTTTGTCACTGTTCATCAGAGGAACGGTCTCAACGCCTACCTCACATATTGCTGTTAGTACTCTGTTGTAGGTAATATAAAGAATAACGTAT